ATACTTTAGCTAGCTTCTTCTTTTTGCTTCTTTTAGCTAGTGTTTTGTTACTTGTAGCTTAAAGCTAGTTTTTGATACTTTTAGCTACCTTCTTGTTCTTCGTTGCTTCTTTTAGCTAGTGCTTTGCTACTTGTAGCTTAAAGCTAATCTTTGATGCTTTTAGCTACCTTCTTGTTCTTCGTTGCTTCTTTTAGCTAGTGTTTTGCTACTTGAAAGCCAGATTTTATCACTTGAACCAAGAATTTTTCTCCTTTTGGCTTTTAGCTCGTGTTCTGCATGTTTTTGGCTTCTAGTTTCTCTACTTGTATAGCTGCACTGTGAGCAGTAAAACTCTAAGTTCATTGTTTAGTTAAACGGAGGCTAAACTTTTATTTTTGTTGACAGCTGAAGCCCAGAGGAGTAAAAGTTGCCACTTCCTGTCACTGGTGTGGCTAAATGTTTGTTTCAGAACATGAAATGTTTAAAAAAGCTGTTTTTGTGACACATGTCACTTGATTACTTTGGTTTATGAGATATTTTGACCAAATCCTACGAACCTGAAGTATTCCACAGGGAGATCCAGCTGCACGAGTTTTGTTTTGTTCTCAGATCTCCACAACGTTCTACACAGAACTTCTGCACATCAGAGAACCCTTTGAAGTTCTGCCTTTCCCGTTTGTACCCACCGAGGAGGGTGTGGCGCCGTGTTCTGCCCAGTCGAGTCATGACCGCACGGGCCGAGCAGAACGTTGGCAAACGGCAGCCGGGTCCCACTTCAAGCAGTGGGCGGAGCCAGGATCCACCCTCCTGATTCATTAGAACCACAGAGTTCTAACGGAGGCCTGGAGCTGCTGCTGGAGCTCTGAGGTGGTGCTCCGTTTGTTCACGGAGCAGAACATCGTCCGGATGGACCTCTGTTCTGTTGGAGCAGTAGCAGAACACCCAACGTGCTCGTCTAAAATAAAAACAGCTGCTGAGCAGAGACAAGTCTGTTTATTTTCCTCCTCAGGATTCACTGTCGTCTCTTCTGTTTTATCCATTTTTATCAAAGTTTGAAATATTTCCGCGTCTCAGAAATATCTCGTCGTAATTCTGCGTTCTCCTTCCTGCAGGAAGTCTGAACGTCTCCGATCGTGTTGCCTGGACTCAACGTTCGAAGACGGAGAAAAATAAAAACGTTGCTCGTCTTTTTATAGACCAACATGTCGCTCGTCTTGAGCGGCTTCAGATCAGAGACGTGTTCTCGCGGTTCTAAGAGAAACGCACGAACGTTCCCATTGGACAAACAGGATTTAAAATATTCAGAATAAGAATCAGAATAAACTTTATTATCATTGCACCGAGATACAACGAGAACATGTACGTACAGTCGTCCGAAAGATGGACGTAGTGCACCAAGCTGCTGCTATAAAAAGCGCGGCCTTCTTATTCTTATTCAGAATATTATTTTTGCTTAGATGAGAAAAGGGAAGAAAACATGAGGAGAGACGATATAAAAAAAAAGATCTCTCACGCCGTGTCCTAGTCAGGGCACGATTTGAGGCATCAACAAATCTACCACAGCAAAGCAACATAAACAGATGTTATACATATAGGCGGTGAAAACATTGGATTTTAAGGGAAAGTCGTAGCATAGTCCAGAGCCCCCCCTCTCAGCCATTGTCCAGGTAACAGGTGTTATTCATCATCAGTTCGGTTGAGGTTCTGTCACATGTCCACGGCGTTGGGGGAGGGAGGGGTGAGGAAACAGTCAAAGCATCTTTGTTGTTTTCAAAACATGCCAGGAGGAGTTGAGATAAGTCCGGCATCAAGGCCACAGTTCGGGTCAGGCAGAACTCGTGAAATTGTTGTTTCTGCCTTTTAAAGTCTCGCTGGTACATTTCTTTGATGGTGACTCTAAACAGCCAAATTGATTCCTTACGCTGAAAGTCGAGCTCACAGCATCTCCCAGATTATTCCCAAAGATTCATGGGTGCTGCCAGAAAGTTCACAGTCCTGATAACAGCTGCTCCAGCTCCGACGCAGCTCCACGTAATTCAGTCTGAGTGCTGCCGAGCTTCGACACATCCACACGAATTTGTAGACAATCCTGATTTCACCAGCCAAACAGCAGAATCCAGATGTCATCATGAATCCAATTTGTTTCCGTCGAGGTAAGAGGGTCCTCCTTACCCTGACTCCTGTCGGGAGAAGTTGATCAATTTTGTTGAGAAACCAGCTGATCCTTCGAATTAAGAGGTATGCAGAAACAAAAGAGGCTTTTTAAGGGCTCACAAGACGAAAGAGAGCAAGCAGGGAAGCTGGGGGGACGGAGGGCAGGGAGACACATCCGTCTTCACCGGAGCACAGAAAAAAAAAAAAAAGATTGCAGATTGATTATTATGTCGTGTCATTTCTCATCATCGCAGTGTCTTGATTGTTTTGTCACATAGTCTTATTAAAATGGATGTTTATATATTTATATATAAATAAAATTCAGTGTGCATCTACAAGTTTCCCCTTTAGAGTTCTTGAATTCAAGATGGCTGCCGCAGCTAATCCAACAAAGCCATAAAAGGCTATAACTCGGTCAGTTCCACATATATTGAGCTAAAACTTGGTGTGGTAGTAGCTGAGAGTCATTCACAACACATACTGTGAGGCTGAGCTCTAGCCCCGTCCATTCTACACAGAAAACCCAGGTAATGTTAGTTTATTGGGGACTGCCTAGTAAGGCAGCACCTATTATTATCCACCTAACAAAGGGTTTCTTAACTTTATATCTTATTGTTCCGTCCAGTTTTAATGTTGCCTGAATCGCAAAATGTAGCACCACAATTGTTATATCAAAAGGCCTGGTTCAGCCCCGTGATGTGTGCGTTTACTTTTATTGGCGTTTTGAGTTACCATGGCGACGTAATTTGCTAAGAAAAAAGCCATTTTTCTCATTCAAAATGCCTGACGGGACTCGACAGTGTCATTCTTTGAGGTACTGAGCTGGAATTTACTCTGGTCGTAGTCCAAAATCCAAGATGGCCACCTGAGCTAAAAAGGAAAATAAAATCTATTTTAGAGATATTGAGACAACATTTTGTGTGGATAGCTGAGAACGTTTCCCATCACATACTGAATCCAAATCAAAAATCCAAGATGGCCGGCAAAGCTACACTTAAACGGCTTTAACTCATTTTCACACGTATAGAATAAAAATTTGTTGAGATTATCACTGAAAATGTTCCATCCAAATTAAAAAAAAATCCAAGATGGCCACGATAGCTTAAAAAAAAAATCCTATAACTCGTTGATTTTTTTTCTGCCATATTGAGCTGATAATTGGTATACTGGTAGCTGAGGGTGAACCCCAACACATAGTCCTGTCAAACTGGCAGCAGCGTGGCAGTCCCCGTTAGCATCGTGTCATTTCACATCGTCACATCGAGGCGGTTAAAGGTTCAAAACGAGCTCGTTTTCCTCCCGTCATTACTTCGGGATGATTTACAGGAGGGAGCGTGGCGTCCTCACTGAGTCAAACTGACCAGCCCTGGGATTAACACATCTCTGGGGAGCTTCCAGATATTTTCTGAGAGAGTCAGATAAAAAAAACAAAAAGTTATTTTTCTCCACAGCTGACCTCATCCTGCAAAAACAGAAGGATGACGACATCCTTCATGGATATGGAGCCGTCAGGAGCTCCACAGAGGCCCGTTTCCTCCAATGTCAAGGCGAAGGAACTCGTTCTAAAAACAAAACTGATTACACGTATCTATTTGTCTTTTATTTCTCCCCTGGGTGTAATCTTTAAAAGGAAAAACACACCAAATATCCTCCGCTAGCATTCTGTACTTGGACCTTGGTGTCAGGTTCTGCCTTTCTGCGGTTCTTTAGCGCCACTTTTCATTCTCTAAATATCTGTGTAAACATTTTAAAATTATTTCTTATGTTCAAGTGAGTAAAGCTAAAGAACTTCTAACAGCACACTGTCAGAAAATTAAACAGCCGTCGTTAGATTCAGTCCATTTAGAGTGTGAAATGTGCATTTGTGCTTGTTCTGCTGTAAATCTGGTTGAAAGTTGTGGAAAAACACCCCCGTATAGACAGTAATTAAAAAAATAAATAAATAAAAAGGCAGTTGTTATTCTCTTTAAAACTGCAGTAAATTGTTAAAAACAGAACAACCATGTCTATTAGCGCTTCGATAGCTACAAGCTAACAAACGCAACGTTAGCTTTAACTTGTTGAAGAGCTTTAGGACTGCTCTGTGATTATTATTATTTTTAAACTAAATCAAACTTTGGTATTTTAACAAGTAAAACTTTTATGTTGGATGTTAGCAAGAAACTGACTAGTTTTCTAACTGAACTTTGACTTTAACGAGACGCAGACGTTAGCAGCTAATGCTACTTGGAGGCTAGCTTACTATATTAATTATATATATATATTTATTTTTTTTTTGTTCCCAAAAATATAAAGGTTACTTACATTTTGTTTCTAAAATAAACTTTAAACAACAGGTAGGAATTGTGAAAAATAAATAACCAAATAAATACCTGAGCTGAACCACTAGGTGGCGATAAAAATAATGACGTACCAAAATACACAAACTAAAAATATATATAGTTTTATGACAATACTGATTAAATATCCAACAATTTTGCTTTGGTTTATAATAAAATATACCTCAACATATATCAGGTCATTAAACCGTTATTTTCTAATTCTATCGCCCGCGGCTAAAAGGTGACAGACAGACTTGGGCGATAATGTTTTTGCCCACGTCTTTTTGTCTTTTGGTAAAATATCTCATGAAGCATTGAGCTAAACGAAAGATTTGTAAATGAAACAAACGAAGACGTTCTGTACATCCAGTGATTGACTTTTAACACAATGTAAGATGGCTGCCGCAGCTAACTTTCACACAAAAATGACTTGTGCAGATATTGAGCTTCAGCTTGGTACGGTGGCAGCTGAGAGACATTCACAACACCAACTCTGAGTACGTATCTGAGAATGTGAAATCATGAACTAAGTTTTTAAAGTTTGAACAAATTGTAGTTTTTGAAACATATTAATCTAAAACTCCTCTAAGGTTTGACAGTGGGTGATATGAATTCCCTCAAGGAATGATGGACCTTTATTTATTTCAGATTTTTTAAGTCTCTCAACGTCCGAATTGTAACTTTTTTACAGTGTAGTCCACGGTGACCGGCTATGTTGTATGGTATGGAGACAGAGACGTGGACAAAAAGACAAGAGACAGAACTGGAAGAGGCAGAAATGAAGATGTTGAGGTTCTCCTTAGGAGAGACAAGGATGGATAAGATTAGGAATGAGATGATCAGAGGTACAGCACAGGTTGAACAACTGGGAGATAAAGATAGAGAGACCAGACTGAGATGGTTTGGACATGTCCAGAGGAGGGACAGTGGTTTGGACAAGTCCAGAGGAGGGACAGTGGATATATTGGTAGAAGGATGTTAGAAATCCAGCTGCCAGGAAAAAGACAGAGTAGATATATGGATGCAGTTAGAGAGGACATGGAGGTAGTTGGAGTGAGGACAGAGTGAGACGGAGGACTCGCTGGGGTACCCCTGAAAATGGAAAAGCCGAAAGAAGAAGAAGTTCACGGTGACTGCAGATTTCTTCCCCTTTACACAAATGAAGCTGATAAGTCCCATATAAACCGAAGCTGTGGTACATTTTATCTGCAGCATATTTTAAAAACAGACACCTGAATGTGTTCCCGTTGTTCAGTGGTGGAAACCAACCCAGTCTGTGTTACTGGCATCCATTTGAGGGAGAAAACCCCAAACATCTAACCACACTTGTTGAGTCTGGTCACAACCTGCGAGCTACAAGTCCAAAATTAAACTCCACCAACCCAACAGCTTGTGTTTGCAGACAGAGTGAGTCAACCGCGACCTCTGATGTTGTCTTCCTTGTGCCGCCTGTGTTTGGTCTACAATCCTTCTGTCAAGGTTTTCTTGATCTGTCTGGGTACAACCGCCCACGCGACTTTCCAAACCGATGGTTTTATCAGTGAAACGGTTGATTTCTGATTTGCCATCTAAAGCCACACTGACCTCGATGATATAATCGTTGCCGTCCTTTCCGTGGACGGCCTTCACAGCGCAGATGTCGAGGCCACCAAACATCTCCGCGCAGGAGTCCACCCACAAACGGTATCTGCAACAGAGTTACACACTCTAAGACAGAGATATTGGAAAACTGATGCACACTTAAATACGAGCTAAACATAAATCCTTAAGTGATGCTGATTAATGAGAATGAGGCTGAACCAGCTCACCTGTCGGTCATTGCAATCTGTTCCAACATGGCGGAGCCAGTGTTCGCCTTCCAGTTGCCAGAAATGGAAGTTCTCCTGAAACCCCGACAACAAAAAAACAGCTTTAACACAAAAAGCTCATGAGAGAATCTATCAGTGAAAGTGACCGTCATCAAATGTGAAATCTATTTCGGTTAAAGGCCAATTTCAAAAATTTTTTCACTGCGAGGCTGGGGGGCGGGGACTAAATCAGATAAGCTAAATTTGTAATTTCCCTAATTCTTCTTGCGCAAAAGATACAGAAACATGAAAATTAGTTCGCACCGGTCACTATCTCGCCCTCAGATGGGTGGGAATATATGAAAACTGGACTAGTCCATGAACATTAATCCATCTGAGGGGGTTTTATCTCCACACCAGATCTAAACTATACATACAGGCTCAGACATAAACATGAACTTGTTCATGAAGTTATAGAATGCAAGTTACCACTGTACCCAACGTCAAGCATGGCGGTGGTAGAATCATGCTGTTTCAAAAAGTTCATAGCATTAGGAACTACCTTCAACTTCTCCAACTTAACATAAAATCAACGGCACCAAACGAGACTCTTGGTCACAGTTGGTGTTGCAACAGGACAGTGATCCCAAACATCAAATTCTGCTTCTGATTGGATAAATCGGGGAAACGTTAAGCTTCTGGAACCGCCGTCCCAAAGCCCCGACATCGACCTGATGGTAAATCTGTGGACTGCGTTTAAAAACCGAGACAGTTTCAACGAACTCTACGATTTCTGTCCGGTAGGTCGGTCAGACTTTTAAGAAGATTCTATCAGAAGCTTGTTGGTGAATACACAAAGGTCCAGGCGTAACTTGCTCCAACATTTAACCAAATATTAGACTATAATGTGTATAATTGCATCAGATCTAGAGACATATGGAACGCTGATGTCCCCGTCGCTGAGGGATTTAGTAGTGAATGTTTGCAGTTTTCGAGATGAGTGTTTCTCTGGTCTGAAATTAAACAGGGGATGCAAGAAAACCTTAATGTTTTTTTATGCAAGATATTCAAGTGGGTACAAGTTACACTATAAGAATAGAGGTTGTTTTTTTTCCCTTGTCCGAGACGGCGCAGAGTGATGGATCCTGGCAGGTAGAGAGAGCAATTTTATCCACCACCAGATGCAATGGCGGAGCCAGGGGGGTGGCCAATGGTGGCCTTGGCCACCATAGTTTAGTTTTCAGCCACCCCAATTATTTGCAGAAACTAGACTTTTACTTAAAAAAAAAAATATATATATATATATAAAAACTAGAAAGCGTAGTTTCCTAAAATGATTGGGGTGGCGAGTTTGCATATTTATATAAATGGAGGTGGCCATCTTAGATTTTGACATGGCAAACCAATATTCAACAGTGACCTTCCTTACACCTAGATACAGCCACACGCCAAAATTGAAGTTGGTACCTGGCTTACATTTCAAGGAATCATGCTCACATGTCTGATGGATAAATGGACAGAGGGTATTCCTAGTTCCCCCTCTTGGCTCTGCGACGGAGGACCAAAATCCAGTCCAGTTCTTGATATTAAAAATTACTGAAGTTGTTTGTTGTACAATCACTCCATCATGGGAAAAAAAAGTCAATTAAATCAATGAAACCCCAAATTTAATGACAATCACGCCCATGGTGAACACCAACTGTATGCAACAAGCACAGCATCCGGCACATTTTACGATCGTCGACAAACTATTATACAGCAACCTATAGCAATGGGCCAGACAAGAAGAGACGTCATATAACCTTCGACTTTGATTTGTGACCTTAACCTTGTAGCTGGGGTGATAAAAAGTATACAAGGCACTCCATCTAGTGATGATGCTTTTGTGTATCAAGTTTCATTAAATGATTTTCAGCAGATCAGAAGTTATGGGCGGGCCAAGAGAAAGTTTACGGACAGAGTATGTTGTAAAACATCCTCCCCTATAAAAATGGTCTAAACGCTCCGTCATAACATCCATTTTGAGCAGCTTCATTCCACTTTTATTACCAGTCAGTATGTGTTTGTTAAACTACACTGTGACCCCAACATGCGGAACATCCTACATGTAGGCCTTATAGTTGCTGCCGATCTTCTGGATGCGGATGTCGTATTTGGACTGGACGTAAGGTTCGGTGGTGGCGTAGGTCCCGGCAAGAGCCACCACACTGGTGATGTCCTGGAAGTCTTGCTGGTTTTCCACTTTAATCTGCAGGAGAGATCATAAAGCAAAGCACCGCCGTCAGAGCTGGCAGCGGCCACTTGCAGTCCCACAGGACTCACACTTGTACACAGTCTGGATAATGAAGGGTCCCTGGGTGGAACCGGTGCCACGGGCGGCTTTGAACCACGTCACCATCGATTTATTAGACTGCAGACAGTAAACACAGACCAAAGGGAAATGATGCGGTGGCAGCTAATCAACACAAAACAAGCAAGAACTTTTCATTGAACCATTTAAATTTCATATTTATGTAATATATTCCTGTTTTCAAGGAAACATCGTGTCACAAATAGGTTATGTTCCAAGCTAGCAACCGTTATTTCTGCTTCTGTTTACCCAGTGATGGGAACGGGGGAAGCGAAAGTATGACTTACAACCTGAAAATGAATTTTAAAGAAATTAAATAAAGTTTCTCTTGATTTTATGCAATGGATCTACACAAAATACTCCAGATTAATGGAGAAAACTTGTTTCACTCAGCCCCAACCTTCAGAAGCTGCACAAGTTCATCAATGTTTTCTTGTGAGCGATCTAAGTATCAGAAGATCTCAGTATAGTTACACTTGTTCTCATATCCCTCAGAGTATAAACACCTTTAAGTAGTAAGGACTTCCACCAAGAAATGGGCATCATGAAGACCAAGGGATTTTCCACACAAGTCAGAAACAAAGTTGTGGAAAAGTACAAATCAAGGTTGGGATATAAAGCAATATCCCAGAATCTTGAACATCTCATGGAGCTCCACCAATATTAGGATACCTGCTAAGAGTGGGTCGTCCAATGATCCTCTCATACCAGATCGCATTAAGCAGAGATACATCCTGGAGGACAAAGTTGACCCTGATGGAGCTGGGCTTCATGGAACATCCATCCTTTGCTTTACCTCCTTTTCCTTTCAGGGTTGCGGTGAACTGGTGCCTAACTCCAGCAGTCATTGTGTGGGAGGTGGGGTTACATGCTGGACAGGTCGCAAGTCCATCACAGAGACACATGGAGACAAATGAGACAAACAACTGTTCATGCTCTCACTCACACCTCAGGACAATCTAGAGCTACCAATTAACTTAACATGTATGCTGTTGGTCTGCAATACCCACATGTGCATGTAGAGAACATGCAAACTCCACCTAGAAAGGTCCCAGGATGGTAGGCAATCCCACAACCTTCTCACTGAAAGGTGACGGCTCCAACCACTGCCCCACCGTGCCACTGATTCATGGAACAGTGGCAGGAAAAAGCCAAAGACATACTGGAGACTTTCCAAACACATGGAAAAACTTGCAGAGGTCAGGTGAGACTAAAACTGAACTTGGTTTAAGAAGAACTAGTTAAAAGTCGGCATGGTGGTGCAGTTGGTAGAGCTACCGTCTCTCAGCAAGAAGGTTGCCGGTTAAAATCCCGGCCAGGGACCTTTCTGGATGCATGAGTTTTCTCCGGGTACTCCGGTTTCCTCCTACAGACCAAAAACATGCATGTTACTCTAAATTGTCCCTAGGTGAGAGCGAGAGAGTGAACGGTTGATTGTCTCGTTTGTCTCTGTGTCCCAGTGATGGACGTGTGACCTGTCCTGGGTGTACACCACCTCTTGCACAGTGACAGCTGGACATGGGCACCAGTGACCCCCATGACCCGAAAAGGTAGAAGCAGGTAAAGATAATGGATGGATGGATAGTTAAAAGTCCTGGAATGGTCCAAAGTCCAGACCTCCATGCAAATTTGAATCTCTGGTTTGGTTTTTAAAATGGTCTGACACTTAAATGTCAGGTTTTAGGGCCATAAAACAGTGACTACCTTTGACACGCATGGTCTTCATGTCATCAAAAGTAGGGTTCATGACTCCTTACAAAAGTTCCATACGAACTTTACCATTTGTTTTTACATAACATGACAAAAAGATGAAGTTATTTTCTTTAAGAAATTATGATTTTTAAGACTAAACCAGAACAAGCACCGACTACTAAAAATCTTTGAGTTTACAAAAGTTTACCAATGGTTATCATTCAGAACCCGCCCCCCCCCCCCCCCCCCCCCCAAAAAAAAACAACTTTCTAAAGCCCCGTCAAAGAAGATGTCTGGGTGGAACAAAGTCTTCCAGTAAAAGTGACGCAGTTCATCAACAGAAGATCAACAGAAACAACAGCAGTAAAACAAATGAAGGGAAAGAGCGAGAACGTTACCAAAACTGGAAAAGTGCGACGTTTAAACAAAGGGTGGGCAACTTCATTGGTTCATTTGGTTTAATAAACACTGTTGTCACTTTGAACACACGAAACCCACATAAACCACTTGGTTTAACAAATTAGCTCAGAATGAGGACTAAGAACTAGAATAAAGACAACAAAGCAGGAGTCAGGACATTAAGTCTTGCGGTAAACTAAAACCCTTTTATTGTCCGTACTGAACGTATGGACAATAAAAGGGTTTTCCCACTAAAATGTTCCAAGGAGATCAAAACAGCACTATACATTCTCCGAGGGGTTAAATGAGGTCCTGCTCAACAAGTACTTCCAAGTTCCCCCTGAGCCTTGTGGGATACTCTATAGCATGTCTGGGTCCCGCACAGGAAACCAAACCCATTCAGACAGGCGAGGAAAACAGCCGTAACGACCGAATCTCCGGAGTCGGAATCTGTGAGTTTAAAGAAACGGTGTTTAAAACTGAGGCGACAGCTTACCTCGATTTTGTCTGAACCGCTCCAGATCTGCGCATAAATAACTAATTAAACCTAAACGGGTTTTTGAAGGTGAAAACAGAACTTTGTTTCTTTGATACAAACCAGTTACTTAAGATCCTCCTTTAAGATCGTCGGCATAATATCTGCTCGGCGAGACGAATCCCCAAAACTCCATTTTTCTACATTTACAATCTAACTACTTCTGCGTATTTTGCGCCGTTTTAGCCATTTGTATATCAAAATATTCGGCTCATTCAGCAGATGGGTGCTGTGAGAATGGGTTTTTGTCACTTGAATACTTTTTAAAACGTTTACCTTAAATTAAAATAATTTCACTAGAACGATATCTTAAGATCAAAACATCGCTCTGTTTCTGCTTCAGCTTCATTTCTGGCCGTCTTATGATACTTATAGCTTTTAATTAGCCGTTTGCTACTTTAAGATTTTGGCTAACATTCTGCCACTTGTATCATTTTAGCAATTTTGCTATTTCTAGCTTACATTCTACCACTTTTACATTTTTAGCTAGCCTTTTGTGACTTTAACATATAGCTAGCCTTTTACTGCTTTAAGATAGTGCTTTGTTACATTTAGCGATCAGCTAGCCTTTTGTTACATTTAGCTTTTAGCTATTATTTTCCTACAATAAGCTTTCAGCTAGCTTTTTGCTGCATTTACATTTTTGCTTTTAAATGGTGTTTTGATTATTTTAGCTTAGAGTTTTACTTCTTTTAGCTTTGTATCATCTGTTTTTCAGTTTTAGCCAATGTTCTGTCTCTTTTAGCTAGTGTCATCCTTTTTTAGCTTTTAGCTAAGTTTTTGCTGTATACCTTTTAATATTGTATGCAGCTCTTTAGGTTTTATCTGATGTTTTGCTACCTTTAGCTTATGTTTAGCTTTTAGCTAGTGTTTCACTTCTTTTAGTTAGTGCTTAGCTTATTTTAGCTTTTCACTAGTGTTATGCTTCTTTTAGCTTGTATTTATCTTCTTTTATAACTAATGTTCACTACTTTGAACTTTTAGCTTATGTTTAGCTTTTAGCTAGTGTTTCACTTCTTTTAGCATTCAGTAGCATTTTATTAATTTTAGCTTTAAGCTACTGCCTTGCTTCTTTTTTAGCTTTTAGCTAGTGTTTCACTACTTTTAGCTTTCAATAGCATTTATTTCATATTAGCTTTTAACTAGTGTCATCCTTTTTTAGCTTTTAGCTAGTATTTTGCTTTATATCTTTTATCTTGTATTTAGTTTTTTAGGTTTTATCTGACGTTTTGCTACCTTTAGCTTATGTTTAGCTTTTGGCTAGTGTTTCACTTCTTTTAGCTTTTAGTTAGTGCTTAGCTTAGTTTAGCTTTTCACTAGTGTTATGCTTCTTTTAGCTTGTATTTATCTTCTTTTAGAGTTTAACTAATGTTTACTACTTTTAACTTTTAGCTTATGTTTAGATTTTTAGCTTTTATCTAGTTTAACTTCTTTTAGCTTTGAGTAAGCATTTAACTTATTCTAACTTTTAGCTAATGCGTTGCTTCTTTTCACTTTTAGCTAGTGTTCAGCATCTTAAAGCTTAGACATCCCAGTTTAAAGTGTTCAGCTATTTTCAGCAAACTCATTCAGCGCTGAACATCCACACTGCAGTTTGACAGAAACGACATTTCTCGGGTTAGAACAGGTTTTGTCCCGTCTTGTGTCTCCTTCTAGTCCACAGGGAGACGGAGGTGGTCGGTGGAAACGACAACAGACTGGCGTTTTGTTTCCTGTCTGAACCTCAGACCAGCCGAAGGCTATGGGGCGATATCATGTTTGACTTACAGGACTGTAATCAAGACAAACGTGTGACGGAGAAGCCGGAGTTTAAACAGAAGAAGCCAACGGCTCAGTGAAGTCTTCCAGACCTCTTTTAACGAGTTAAACACCTAAAACACGTCTGTTCACTGCATCTACAGCCTTCACCCCGTTCTCTGGATTCTAACTTGTTTGGTGTGAAGGATCTACTACGTTTTGAAGAACTCACCTTTCCCATTCCAGCGTAAGCGTGGCCCATCTTGACAACCACAGGGAAGGTCTGGGTTGTGATCTGTGGACAGAAACGCCACAACAAACAGTTAAACAGAAAACTGCTAACAGATTTTTACACCGTGCACACAATATGCACTCTTCTTTCAGAGGTCCCTCTTCAGGGGTCTCTACAGAGAGTTGTCCTTCATGATCTCCGTCCTCACTTCAACTCCCTCCATGTCCTCTCTAACTGCATCCATACATCTCTGTCTTTCCAGGAAGCTGCATTTCTAACATCCTTCTACCAGTATACCCACTGTCCCTCCTCTGGACACGTCCAAACCACTGTCCCTTCTGTCAGGGACCACTGATTTGATACTGCATGCACAGCTGGCAGTCCAAGGACTCTAGTCTCTGCCTGTGAGCCGTGAGCTGATAAACATATCATCGCACGCTGCCCGTGGCAGGTTCTCATGACTGAGCTCCATGGAACTTCTGTGTAACTTGCTGTGAAAATCTGCTCTTGCAAGTAAAACTGGATAAAAATCTTCTCCAATCGAGTGTGGCGTCTTTGAGTAAGTACGATGAAAAGAGGATATTTTCATCCAACACCTCCTCTGGACATGTCCAAACCACTGTCCCTCCTCTGGACATGTCCAAACCATCTCAGTGTGTCCTCTCTAACTTTATCTCCCAGTTGTTCAACCTGTGCTGTACCTCTGATGATCTCATTCCTAATCTTATCCATCCTCGTCAATCCTAAGGAGAACCTTAGCATCTTCATTTCTGCTGCTCCCAACACGTTCTCCTGTCTTTTTGTCCATGTCTTTGTCTCCAGACCGTACAACATAGCCGGACACCCTTTTGTCACAAATCACTCCTGAAACTTGTCTCCATCCACTCCGTCCTGCCTGGACTCTTTACCACACTTCCTGTTTTCCTGGACAGTTGACCCTAAGTATCCATGCAACCAGCCACAGGTTCATTTTATTCACCCACTCGTTTCCTCTTCATCACCTGGTGCGAGTGCTCACCTCCAGCAGAGTTTCAGCTTCATACCTGTTGTGTAACTTATGTATTACATTAAACATGTGGGGTATATGTGACTCGCCATGTTGCTATGTTCGTATTACAGATCCTTTTTTTTGTGACCAATAAGTTTGTGTCAACCTGGCGTTTCTGGAGATCAGCGTAAGCATATCGGAGTATCAGAAAGATGCAACGTTGTGACATTCTTTGTCCTTCACAGTCTTGAATCTCAATATTACATAGAAACAAAAACAATTCAATGCAATGTGTTAGCATTATGCTAGCTTTAGCTAAAGACACTTTAATGTGACTAAATAAGTTTAGTTTCCAGATTTTAATTAAAATGATATAGTGGGATTGTTTACAAATTTTTTAAACAACATTAAAAAAAAACAATAAAGAAGCTTTTGCTAAAAAGTTTGATGATAGCAGAAAGTGCCTTACAGCATTTTTCCCGCCTAAAATCTGAGGTTTGTCAATATAAATATCTTTGAACCGTATTTTGAATTCAAACTGGGTAAATGGACATAAAAACAGATCCTAAATGGTACGATCTAAACACCGGACTAAACACACATTCACAGACAGAATTTATTGTAAAAACATGTAACAGACACATTGTCAGCCAAAATGCTGGAAATGTCGTATTAAAAAAGCCAAACAAGGTTCTGAAAACATTCAAAGCTTTACTTTAAACGTCCAGGTGGACAGACATGTGGTAAACACTACATCAAGCAGACACCGGTCTTTGCAGATGACTAAGACGGGGAGGAGACGGAACAAACGTTGGTTTGTTACAATCAAGAGCAGGATTCTAAAAAGCTGGGTGGAAAACCACATTTCAACTGGATGGGTCCGGACAGCACAAACAGGACATTTCTCGTAATTTGTAGAACCAAAGTGGACGAAACATCAACAGATGACATCAGAACTCCTTGTGGTTTATACACCCCTCGATAAAACCAGCTGATAGGACAGTAAATGGGTCTAAAGAGGGACTTTTCCAGTTTAAAAACCTTTCCACCGCTCGGGCGTGAAATGACTCCCATGCTTTAATACCTACAGACACAAGGGGCTTCTGGGTCATGTTTACAGCAACTGATGTGAAAATTCCTTCAACTACAATAAAAGACGTTCACTTTTTAAAAACAATGACATAACATTATGTCAGTTTATTTTATTTTTACCAAAATACAAGTCCAAGAGAAGTCATGGCGAAAAAACTCGCCCTTCTCCGGTAGACGGTCGTAAATATCAGGACAAAAAAAAAACCTGGAGTTTTTGCTTCTCTGGAACATACAGGTGTGGAGTAACAAAATGCCAAGATGGAAAGACATCAGCAAAGACCTTACAGAGGCAGCTGTTGCTGACCTTCGGTCTGGGAAGGGTCAAAGGTCATTCCCTAAATGGAGTTCATCATTATGAAGAGAGAAATATTATTCACAAGTGGAAAACATTTAAGACAGCTGACAATCTTCCCAGAAGTGGAACTCTCAAGATATTCACCCCAAAGGTCAGACTGTGCAATGCTCAAAGAGCTCCATCTCGGACTCTATAGGCCTGAGTTAGCAGGTTAAAGGTCAAGGTTCACGGCTAGGCCTGTCACAATAACAAATATTGCTGGGCCATTAATTGTCTCAGAAATTATTGCAATAAACGATAATAGTGTTTGAAATTTGACAATAATTAGTAATTATTGTCAAATTTAAGAAGAAATGTTGGTTAATTTGTTTTGCATGTAGTATATCTTTTCAACCACCAGATGGCAGTATAAGATTGTTTGAACCGAAGGATGGATAGTGAGGGAGTGAGCAGCGTGTCTCTTTAGGAAAAATGTGAGGGAGGCCCCTTGACGTTACATGGGCTGTCTCTTTTCGGTTCTCAAAATGGCGGCTGCTCGGTGTGGTTTGAGCTCTTTAGCATTTTTCACACAAAACTTTTAATAAAAAAATCAGTAAACAAGTTCTCAGCTTCTTTTTGCAAAGGAAAAATAACTTTTTACAAGAAGGCACAGGTTTCAACTGTGAATTTTGGAGCTTCAACAAGACGGAGGTTTTTTGCCCCGAGGTCGGCCTGTTAGCTTAGCTCGTAGCTTAGCTTCTCAGCTTAGCTGTTTTTAACAATCCAAAAATGCGATTTTGGATTGTTAAAACAGATTTTAAAGAGAAAAGAGAAAGGTAGGGGCCAGTGAAGAGCACCGGAGTTGAGTCTTATTGTCATCCAGTGTCTAGAGACACGGAGAAACGATAAAGCAGATAAATGAAAATGAAGTCGATAATTTTAATTAATCATGCGATTAACTGATTTATCGTTTATTGCGACAGGCCTAGTCGTGGCCTCTCCTCTCTGAAAACAACATGGCAGCACAACTTCAGTTTGTAAAGTTTCTTCTAAAGGAACCACAAGGCTTCTGGGACAATGTCTTTAGGACACACAAGACCAAAGTTGAGACATTTAATCATAAAGCTCAGCGTCATGTTCGGAGAAACCTAAACATTTCAGCTCAAAGCCTCCCAGCTGTCAGCACGGTGGTGGAGAGCAGATGGTTTGGGCGGCTGTCAGTCACTAACTGAACCATGAACTCCTCTGTAGACCCAAAGGTTCTGGAGTCAAATGAGAGTCCATCTGTGTGACAACTGAAGCTTGGACCAAACTGGATCCACATGGTGGAATTCGTTCTGCATTTCGTATAATTGAGGTTAGATGAAAAGGACTTCAGACCATTTTCTATACGTGCTGGTACGTGCAACCCTAGAACTGAAAATGGGCGGAGCTTCTAGTCCGTTATGGCCATATGTAAAGGGAGCAGTTTTGCTTTGGTGCTTCATCTATCACACACCTCTCTCAAGACCAGTCAAAAAGTTTACACGGCTTATCTTCGTGGAAACGTCCAAATGATAACTGGTTAATAAAAACAGAAACTGAACACGCTCCGGTCAAACAGTGAGGGAGCAAACACACGATCAGCGCTGCAACGAGGGAGGAAGCTGCTATCGCTTCAAGCACTCCCTCCCTGATGGACCACTGGGCTGCACGTCCTAAAGCTGCCGTCAACTTGTTTTGGGCCGTGAACTGACGGAGCAGCTTGAGGATGTAAATGCTGCTTCTACTGACAGGTTCTGCCGCTACAAGCCCGGCTGACATGCTGCCAAGATAATGTCGCTTCAATTGTCTCTTTTATCACTTTACAAGAGCCAAAATAAATAAAGGAAGGAAGTGAGTTTGCATCAGGGTTTTCTTTTAATCCACTTCCAAGAAGCGTAGGAGAGAAATAAACCATTAATAAGGAAAACTTTTATCTTTCTGATTACTGTAAGAAACGTATGCTACTTTTGACGCTGTGTGGTACAAATAGACAAGTACTAGCCTAAAGAGAAAATCCATTTTGCTACAACAATTTTGTCTTTTTTTTTTTAATTGCATAGTTTCATATTTACTCATTCCAAAACAAAACTCTGAAGCTACTGTAGAAAATAATATACCTCCATGTACTGCACAGACGTGGAGTGAGGTTTGGTAGAAATACATACAACAGACTGGCATTTACCAGGTGCATACCTGGTACCTACAGCATCCTTACCGAATACTAATGGAGACTGGGGTGTAATAAGAAGCGACTTATTACCCTGTATTTAACTACTACCTGGTGATTATCAGTTATATACTTTTATTTACTGGGTAAGTATCTGATGTATATGGGGTACATGCATGGTACTAAACAGGTACACACTTGGTACTTACCTGGCATGTATTCGATACTTATGAGAACTGGGCTCTCACGTTCGGCTCATTCAGGACATTCCTGCTGTGACCTTTGGTATTTGAGCCTTTTTATCTCTTTGAAATATTTAGCCTTTTCGGCCATGTTTTTCCTCTTTGAAAATGAAAAACTCTCTTTACATCCATCAAACATTTTGTGATGTTTTAAACTTTTACGGCTCATTTCTAACGTTTAAGTCTGGGTTTAAAGCTGTCACAGTACAGAGAGTGCACATTTGACAGTTTCAAATTATATATTCTTGCCCACAGTCTCCAGAAAGTTTGTTGTTT